GGGAGATTCATGTGATTAGTTGTTGGTCGAGATTCAGACACGCCCGTTGAAGCTTCAACGCTTCTGCCCATTCACTTTGAATGGGGTGACGTCACGCTTCGCCGAACTGCATTGTGGTTCCGTCGCTTCGCTTTGCTCACATTGCTCGCTTCAAAAGTAGAGCAATGTTCTGCTTTTGAAGCTTCGACGGAAGCGTCAGCCAATCAAATCATATGCCAGTACAAGCTCTAGCCAATCAAACCGCGTGCTTGTGTGTCCGGGGCGGGAGATTCATGTGATTGGTTGTTGGTCGAGTTTCAGACACGCCCACCGGCAGCGCTGCGTTACTCTTCAGGTTGCATAGGGAAAATTAGTAGCAGTCTACTGCCTTTCTTGGGCGGTGTCCATCAAAAAAAAATCGTAGAGCCAATCAGGAACTGAGAATTTAGTCCAACTTCCTTTTCAATCAAACTCACTTCCTTTTCAATCATACTCTCTCACACTCATAACTATTCTTATGCATTCTGTACACATACCTATATAGACATTCACATGAACTATTATTACCTCTTATAAGCTATTATTCACTGCTATTCTGTTTTACATATATGACTATTGATATTAACATGAAATACTATTCCCTCTTCGATAGGTTATTATTCTGTCTTACATACATTGTTTACCGATTACACACAAACTACTGTCCTCTTTCACATACACTATTGCAGTGGTTCTCAAACTTTTTCTGTCATTCCCCACTTTGAACAGGTGGGTCTTTTCAAGCCCCACCTGTTCCTCATCGCTCCAATAAAATGGTAGGCCAAGCTTAACATTTGCACTGTATATATTTAGCACATTTGAACATTATTATATGCTTACCTTTAACCTTTGTGCGCTGTTTGGGGTCTGTGGGACCCGTTTTCAATGTTTACTAAAGAAAATGTATGCAATTTAATTATTTTGACCTGCTTTATTTGGGGGTGGACCTCACCTCCTCTAGGGGGGTCCGGGGGCATGCACCCCCGGGAAGATTTTTTTTTTTTAATGTTGAAGTGAAAGGCCTCAATCTGGTGCACTTCGAGCAAAAAATGAATTTATGGATACAGCTCTCAACACACTGAAAGGGAGCTTTATACTTTTCAATAATCCAAACATCTTTAGAATATGATCAAAACCAATAACAAATCATTTAAACTTGTTTATTCTTATCTTATGCTACCTAGTTAGCATTCTTTCTTTTTATTTATGCATATTTTACTAATCACTCCACTTTTATTTATTTATTTTTTTACTGTTCTATAGTACACATTGGAATAATTTCTTACTTTATTTTTTACACCTAAGCTATATTAAATAGATAAATGTGTGCTCTCTCTAGCTCTCTCGCTCTCTCTCTCTGTCTCGCACGCTCACAGAGGCTGTGTGCTCCTCCGTGGCGATGACGGCTTGCGTTAAAAAATTATAATAAACATAGGCCTATTTGTAAAGTGGGGGGACACAAACGGGATTTCGAAAAGTGTCACGGTTAAACTCCTTGTGAAGTGGTGAGGTGCCGCTCCACATTGCTTTTCTTCCCGACTGCAACGCTGTAAATGATTTTGGTTTCAGTTGTGTGTGTGTGAGTAGGCTCGGATTGGCCATCGGGAGATTCAGGACTTTTCCCGGTGGGCCGCTGCCTTTGGTGGGCCGCTGGTACCGCACCCGCCGCTGCAAACACCCGCCGTTGCGATTTTGTTTTTGTGTGTGAGAGGGAATAGTTATTTATGTATGATATTAAATGAAGGAAGGAATCACAGTACGTTAAAGACGGTATGTTACTGTGATATTGTTTGTAAGACCAAGTATGAGTTGTGAGCTAGACAGCCTCTCATATTAAATTGCCCACAGCCAGACTGATTTTTCCTTTTACTGATTCAACTACATAAGGTCATCAGCGACGAGACATAGAAACTCTCAATTCTTATTGGCTTTCATGAGAGAGCTTCACGTGGATAACAAAAACTCCACAGTACTGTTTGTCATGGCGCTGTGCAAAAAAATTCTGTCCGTCGTGAAGCTGCATAGGTGTATGTGAAATGTTTGTTTCTATGCTCTTCATCACACAAAACCTAAGCTCACTAACATTGGAAACACCAAAGTTAGCAGCAGTCAAACTGAGAAATACTGCAACCATGAAGACAACTATTCCTGTTGCTGCTTAAACACCTGAATTTCCCTATCAGATCAATAAAGATCTATCTGATGATCTTATCTTATCTGAACTCTACAGCATTTGTTTTATTTTTTTCACTTTTATTGTCATAGTACTATGTAACAAAATGGTTTCTCTGCATTTTACCCATCCTAGTGTTAGGAGCCAAGTGGGCTGCCATTATGAACGGCGCCCGGGGAGCAGTCTAGGGAACGGTGCCTTGCTCAGGGACACCTCGGTAGCACTTGGTCTTGCTGGGACTTCGCCACCACCGCCCTAGAATGCTAGGGAGTATGTACATGTGCTGTTTGTGCGAGCCGAGCGTTACCAGGTGGTTGTTTAGAAGCTGTTCACTGATAGCGTTCCACATGAGGTTGTCGTGGTTAACTCTGTAGAATCCAATGTGATCATTGTTCACCTTCAGCAGCCCGTCCACAGAGGGAGAGTAGTTCATGACGGGAAGCTCTGAAAAACAACAGTCAAACTAATTATTTGCGAAATATGTCAAAATATGATACATTTTCTCAAGAAAAAAGTTAGTTACCATATAACATAGGTCACTGGCAGGTTTAAAGACAGAGTGCTGATGATTTGTTTGTAATCATTTGAATGTTCTGAAAATGATTATACACACTACCTGTGCTGCTCTTGTCAAATATTACCAACATATTTTTGTCGCTTTTCACAGAGTGACATTTGACTGGAATTGTCCACTTGTACCTGTGAAAAAAACATATTAGTGGTCAATAATGTCGTAAAAAAGACTGTGACACCTACATTTAAATCTTTTTAGGTCATTTTTTAATAATACATTAGAATATCCCTTGTGCTGTACTTGTGATTTCTCCTTTTTGCTCTGCTTTGGTCTCTACCAACTATTGATAAAAAAAGACTTTCTCTTCAGCTGTCGACTGTAAAACAATTATAAATACTACCAACGAATATCTTAATACTTTGACTTTTAAACTCTGCGATTCATCATATTGTCTTTCAACATGGAGAAGGGATCAATAATGAGAAAGGAGGTCTGAACCAAACTGTTTTTTATATGAACATATATTAATTGACACATAATCTGGAATAGTCTCTTTTTGTGGCTTTGGACACTGCTAAGGATGAAAGAGTCTTCTCTGTAGCACTGACCCCAGAGGTGAAGGGGGTTGGTTGGGATCAGCATTAGGATTCAGGAGGAATCTCTTCTGACTCAGTTTGGCGTTTGCCTCTGTGACAGTGAGATCCAGCACAGGATAACCCATTTGTTTGGTCCATGTATCCATCACGTCTGCAACCGGCAACCCACTCACCTGGGAACAAAGCAGACATTGGTAACTACTGAAAACTCTCAGAGTGAGAAATTCCGATTAATATCAATCCCATGTATATGAGATAATGTGAGAGCTGGAGTCAGGATGTGGCAAGTGTTATGTCCTTTTTGATACATATTTGATATCAGAATGTCCCTTTTCATGTATGTAATGGAACATACGTTGGCCAGAGATGCCCAGAAGTTTGCTGTTTTGGCGTTCTTGAAGTGGTAGTCTTTCAAATATTTCTGGTGAAAGGAAAAAAGGAAAAACAGACTTTTCATTAACTCGCTGCTGGAACACTTGGAACTTGAATGAGCATTAATCCAAAGAGTTACATCCATTGATAAATATCAACAACTGTCTGTGACTTACTCGACATCCGTCTCTGAACAAGTCTTTACCCATCCAGTCCTCCAACATCCTGAGAATGGACGCTCCCTGGATAATTACAGATAGTTGTTGCATTAAGATACATTGTGAGTAACTAATATTTCATTGTTCCCATGGGAAGCAAGGTTTACTGTGTAGTCGGACCTTGCTGTATGAGATGCCGTCAAACACAGAAGTGATCTCTGCTGGGGTGGACACGTCCACGATGATGGGGTGAGAGGACAGGAGGGCGTCGTCCACCATGACAGGAAGCACATCACTGATGATCATGATGTCTCGCTGTTAACCACAGGAGGAAACAAGGCACGTTTCAGGGAGTTCTCAAAAAGACAAGGATTCATTGTTGTTCCTTCAATAAAACTCACCATGCCCCAGCTGGGTTCAGCTTTCTCCACACCAACGTACTCAAAGAAACTGGCAAAGCCCTCATTCAGCCAGAGGTCATCCCACCAATCCATGGTCACAATGTTCCCAAACCACTGGAGAAGACAACGGATATGAGTTTCAATAAAGGAAGTTATATTGTATTTACCCTGTTCTCAGGGGCGGGTCTAGACATGTGTTGGTGGGGTGGCCAATCTGGGTCACAGACTCAGATCAGGGTGGCACATTTAAATCACTTTTAAAAAGTAAAACTGTAAAAATGAAAGCCCTACTCTCTAAAAAAACATTAAGGCGACCCCTCTGGCCCTGCCACTGCCTGTTCTCTCACTTTATTAGATATATTTGATGCTATCTCAGTAAGAACCCTCCCCGTATTCAGATCTGTTACTGATTGAATTGCTTACTGCTAAGACATTTACAATTGAATATTTATAAGTTTAAAAGGTATAATTCCTTTCATACCTGGTAGGCTCCCAACGTGACAATGTGTGACATTAAAAAGCGCTAACAGTGAGGAGGTTGACAACATTACCATTATTATGAATATATTTTTCATAACTAATCCTAACGGATACAGACATTTCCCACAAGACTAAATAAGAACAAAAGCACAATATTACAACCAACTATATTGAAACTTAAAAACCTAATTTAGCCTAAAATGTGAGTGAAGAAGTAAGTCTCCTGAAGATGGCTTATAATATAAAACATATCCAGGAAGGATAGAGTTCAATTGAAATAGAGTAGATACCAGGATGGGTTGAATGCGGCGTCAATTATGACTTTCAGTTTTATTGAATTTTGTTACAAAGAATCAGTAGCAATGGAATAAGAACCACATTTTCTCTCTTCAAGACATAACTCATACAGATATCACTGTGCATATTAGCAAACAAACAAGCACTTTTTAACGCCCTGCTGTGGATGAATGAAATGTTTTCATTTTACTGAATTGAAATAACTAATGCAGCTTTAAAGAAAACTAAATAAATCATTGTTTATATTCCTCGTAATTATTAACCAAATAAACGTTAATGTTTACAAGAGCATAGGCTATTCAGTTCAGTAATGGAATGCTAACAACAGTGCTAGCTTTGCAAATGCTAAGCAACGCCCCTGCTTTTTAGGAAAACTTAGAAGCTTTGTAAAAAAAACTATACTTATTATCATTCATTCATTACATTTACCTGGGAGACATTTTGACAGATATTTGACAAAATAGACGACTGTCGCTATCAGCTATAATTTCCGAAAGCAAGCTAGCTAGTTAATGCTTTACACTTAGGGTCCAGGTTTATCCTTCAGTACATTATTATGGGGCACATTAAAGCTTGCCAGTAAGAGGACTATTGGCACATCGTCATATACGAATTAACCTCAGTCTTGTGACTTTGAAGAGTTCATAACACTTTCTTGGCTTCCTCTTGGTTTCTTATCTCACCTTACTGTAATATAGCTGATATCTTAGGAAGATATGTACATCATAAAAAAGCTTGAACAATAGCACATGAAGCTATTTTAAACTTTTACAACTAGAACTCTGAACTCATCTGTGTCCTTGTTGATGCAGATCTTTCCATCTAGATAAAAGCCAACATTAGCCCATAGAGAAGTGAGCTAACGTTTTGTTGAGTTGAATGATGGCACTGAGATGAAACAGTACAATAACTAAAGTTCTACATTTGAACACAAACACAATATCTGAAGCATTTAAAGACCAGCTGAAGCTATAATATGAATTTCTCTATCCTCCAGGATCAACCACACTCTTGACTCTTGGGCAACATTCAGGGTTAATTGCATATAATTAAGTATGCTCTCCAAACACCAGGTTTGAGAACATTTATTTTGGTTTACTCCAATCCTACTGCCATGGCTATGTAATTGTTCACTCTCCTGTGCCCTACAGTTCACCAACACTCTGTTTTTTTCCCACAGCTGTGATGTTTCACCATTATGTTTGCCTTATTATTAAAACCCCTGACACATTTGGTTATCTGAAATGTGATGGTTATACACATTACTGATTATGGTATGTTTTATGTTAATGGTAACTGCGTCCACCACTCTGTTTTCACATATTTTGTGTATATAATTCAGTAGAGCAACATTTTCATATTTAAGGTTATTTTCTGCTGGAAAGAATAAAATAAGCAGAGCAATTTAACATCATATGGGTACCTGGTGGACCAGCTCATGGGCGATGACACTGGCCACTCGCTGCTTGTTGTAGGACGAGGACTGGTTAGCATCGTACAGGAGGTTGGTCTCCCGGTAGGTGATCAGGCCCCAGTTTTCCATGGCACCAGTGCCAAAGTCAGGGATGGCTATCTTATCTGGATCAAAACAGCACAAAGAGTTCACTGACGTTATCGCTTATCATGTGTGTTATTGCATTACTGACTTACTTGTTCTAGCGACACTGTTTCATGAAAGATGCTGGTAAAATTGTCATCAAAATGGGAATGCTTGTTTTTCATCTCTTAATTTGATCAAAAAATTGGATTAACTGATATTTCCTCTAGCTCTACCATAACATATTTCTTGGACGTACCTCCTCTGATGTGTCTTTTGAAGAAATACTTTCACATTTTCTGACAACTGTTATTTCCATGATGCCCACACTGAAAGATGTCTTTCATTGGATTGGGTAATAGCACCATTGGCTCTTATTGATCTTTTCTTTGCTTCAGTTAGGGTTAGGGTTAGATTGTTTTGTTGTATTTACATTGTGGACACACGTTGTGATACATATTACTAGACACATATAGAAAGTGAATTTATGGTGAATAATGGTAGAAAGACCCTACACTCTCTTAGTGTTGGACAAAACGTTGTCATGGTACAATTGTAGTTTCTATTGCATGTTTTATTGTGCAACTGTAAATACTACTGTTTAAGAACATGTCCAAAGTAGATAGAATAAAACTACAGCTAGGGCCAATTGAGGACTTTTAGAATGTTTATTTTTATTTGAAAAACGCATTGACCCCAAATCCAAAGAATGTGTATGTGGAACAGAGGGAATAAAGGAAATGTATTGTCTGAGATTTTTAACAAAGTATATAAACCTACCAAGCTTTGGGATGGAGTAATTCATGTTGAAATATTTTTCAAAGTAGTCAAAGATGACCTTGGTTGTGTCAGCTGCATACTCTGCAGTTTTTAACTGACTTGGCTGGGCGTATATTCTCAACTATAAAGGCAGAAAAGACACAGGAAGTATGCATGTACTGGAATTTTGCATGAAATAAAGTCAGTGATATAATGGGGACATGTAATGGTAAACTCACAGGAATTCCTTGGGCAGAAGTTCTTTCCAAATGATCAAACTGGTGCACAGCAAAACATACCAAATAAGTGCTCATTGGAACAGATTTCTCAAAGGAGGTCTTCAGTTTATTGCCAGGCAGTTGTTCAGGGGCGCCCTGGGGAGGCAACATAAAACACTATTGGGTAATGTCCATGTCACTCAGACTGTAGAGCCCCAGGCCCAAAAACAAAAGGCACGACATCCATTCCTCTGCTTTTAGTATTCAAAGTGTTCCCTCCATGGCTGGCTTCCTCTTTCTTTGTTTTACCCATCATGGGAACGTTTGAGTAATTATGCCCCTTTCACCTACAATTCTTCACACAACTTACTCTGTACATACTTTACATTCATAGCTGTAAGTATACATAGTTATTAGTAGAGCTGTACATTTTGAGAATGTATGTTAAGTTGCTGGCAAAGCCCAAAAGCAATGGGATTTTTCCATTGGATTTTGAAATATTAAATATAAAAGATCTGTGGCCAATACCTGTTTCTGACACTTACGAGGTTATTTGTATGCCATGGTCATCTGGACATTATTAAGGCTACTTTTATGATTTTTGAAGCATAAATGCAAATGCCAGAAGTAAAAAGTTAACATTAAGCTACAAACAAACTACATCACTGTCACATGACTTCACCTCACCACCACCAAGCTAAAGGCGGCTAAAGAGTGGCGTATTAACTGATGTATTTTATGTCATAGAACAAAACTTGAAAATATCTTTAGCTGGACCACAAACCTTATTTGATAAAGTCAGCAGCCTCACAAGTATATTGTCCATCACGAAGACTTTGAAATACTGTCAGTAGTTTCAGTGTAGAGCTATGCATTTATCATTTGAATGTAAGAGTTTCTGACTTCAGTCCTACCTGAGGCGGCATGTTGGACAGAGCTCCATAGTTATCATCATGAGTGATGGAGATTTTGTAGGTGGCTTTCTTGTTGGGTTCATCGAAGCAGGGAAAAGACTTGCGGGCATCTGTTGGTTCATGATCAGTTGCAGCAATCTTTCTGGTGATTAAATGAGGGACAGAGTATTGCAGATCTGTCTAAGATCAGGTGCTTTTCATCTTTTTTTCATCCAATATCATTTTTAGGAGACATAATCGGTGAGGAAAATACCGCAAAACAAGTAAAGATATTGTACTTATGTTTGTCATTTCTATTTAAGAACATCTCAGGTATTTTGGTTCAGTTAGTTCCCCTAATCAATACCTATAAATACCTAAAAAAACATTGATTTGAAATGAGGGAACCAGGGAGTGCTAAAATGGTGGATGGCCATGTCAATATGAAAATAAGATAAAGAATAAAAATGAAAAGAGACTGTGTGTGTTTTTTTCCCTCAATAACATGTATCTTCTCATGCACTGATTTGCTTTAGCTGTACACTCCATAAGGCGACAGATTCTGACTGATTGCCCAACACGGCTGTGTCATGGCCTTGGTCATTACATATAAACACTGTAGACTTTTACCAAAACCTTGAATTTAAAGTGACACTCTTTCCAAAGTATGTCTTCTCAGTCATATGAAACTTTTTTACCCACCCAGGATTGAGCTGTCTGCTGCTCAGTATGCATGAGGTATCATATTTAGCCAATGAAACAATGACTGTTTGGTACATACTAAACATTCAGGACTGAAGTAGATGAAATCTCTGTGGCGGATAGGAGGGATCATTTTTTTCTGCAGTGTAAACATTTGTCAGTACTAGAATCTAGTGTAACTGAAACCAAGCTGAGCCCAGCTGCTCTCCATGGATTAGCAAAATAAACCCTTTTTCGTCTACCAAGAGCTGAAGAAGGTTTGTTTCTCAAAAGTTACACATTTCCTTAAGAAATATCGCTAAACTTCTGTCTATTGTATCACATTGTGAGTTTGAGATGATCCCTTGTGCTTTTGTATTAACCCAGAGGGACGACTGCAATAAAATCCTGCAAAAAAAGGATTTGAAAAAAGCCTAACTCAGTTGGTCGTCCCTGAACTGAACACGTTTAGAACACTGCTGAAGGACTCACATCACAAACGTTCCATCTGCTTAACACCACCTTCCATCCTTCGTTTTTATACACAGAGCCTGAGTACATCACTAACATGCTACATTACTACCTCTAAGGTTTTCTGAACAAGGGGGCTGGTTGTCTCTGGAGCCTGACTGAAACAAAAGGAGACCGTACCTCTGCAGTGATAGTTCTGAGACTGTGAAATCCTCTTCCTTTACACATCACATCTGTGGTTCCTATTGACGCCGTTAAAGACAGCTAAAGACACACTTATTGAAACTGGCCTTTGTCCTGCCTCATGCTGTCTTGTTTCTCATTATGGAATTTTGAAGGTTTGATGTTGCTTGAGTTTGATTTTTTATCCTTTTTTTTGTTCTTGAAAAACACTTGAAAAGCGATCTTGTTCTCAGAAAGGTGAAATGCTAAATGTACTTTTTTACTTAGTCTTCACCGTATCACAAAGTCTTTATAATTAGATGAAGTCTGCTCATTGAGATGGATCATTTAAGATCCCAGCGGCTGCACATTCATGGCATCTCTATTGCAAGTGAGCCAATTTGATCTACTGAAGAAGGCCATGTGATCCAGGTAAAGCACCAGAAAAAGTGAGTGGACCAGGAGCTGGGACTGACTAAACAATGTCTGAGCTTCTCTTAAATGGGCATTATAATAGTGCCCAAGATTGTTATATATATAAATCGTTTCATACTTTTTATAAATGTGAAATTGGTCGAGATGAAAAATATGTGTTTGCTTAAAAGACTGAAGCTGTGTTGTCTGCTGTCTATAGGCTACGTCACTTTATTATCTTTTTTTCTGGTTGTTTGACACATTTGTGATATGTTTCTGACAGAATCAAATTAAAGAACTTACTTAGTGACCCCACCCTCGATGTAGATGACCCGGTAGAATCCCACCACAGATCCGTTGAGAAAGCCCTGGAAGTCCAAAGTGAGCACGTACACCTCTCCTGGGCCGGTGGCGGGCAGCTCCTCGGCGGCCTCCACCACCACGTACTGCTGACTGGCGTAATCAAAGCAGCCCTTCACAGCCACCTCCCTCCGGTCCGCCGGACCACTCTGCACGCTCAGCCTGGGCATGGCGCTGACAAACGTCTCCCTGATGTGAAGCCACAGGTGGCGGGTGGGCTTGCTGACTTCCAGGTGGATGTCCACAGTGCCCGTGTAGGTGTCCTGCTCCAGGTCTGGCTCCAGGTGCAGGTCATAGTGGACCGGGTTCACGTAGCTTGGTAGACGGAAGTTCTTCCAGTCTCCATTGGAGTCAGCCGAAGGCAAGCAGGGCCCTCTGCCAGCTGGAGGTGGATTGGTGGGCCCTGCTGTGGGGGCTGGTGTGGGCCCTGCTGTGGGGGCTGGTGTGGGCCCTGCTGTGGGGGCTGGTGTGGAGGGAGTAGTAGTAGTGTTGGCGTCTGACCTGGTAAGACCCACCCCGAGGCCCACCACCAAAGAGCACACCACCACCGTGGCACAGATGATGGCTGCATGCTTACCGCGGATGCAGTAACGCTTGTGCTGCTTCTCCATGTCCATGCTCTCCACCATGGTGACTTCCAAACTTCCCTGGACTCAAACTGGGCTCCACAGCTGACCTGAAGTCAGAGCTGCAGCTTTTGGCTCTTATAGTATGGATTAGCTGTGTGAGCTGGTCTAAAGCTGGCCCCTGTGTAATGCCGAGGGGTGGAGAGAAGAAAGAGGAAGAGAAGTGAGGAGAGTAAATCTGCCGGACAGGGGAGAGAATCTCACACATTGAGCGAGAGATTTATTCCTTCCTCGGTGCTGTTAAAACGCCTCCTCCTGTTAAACATCTACAATCTGCCTCTAAATCAACAGCTAAAGTTCAACTTTATGTGTGTCCTGAAAGTGCTATGTGTTGTTCTTTGTGTCAAAAGAACATGAAGACAGTGCCTGCGTCCAACTTTTGAAATATGTGAACGAATGTGTTTGTTTATTCTAAACCCCTATCTGAGTGGATTTTATTTAAATGTGCGTTGGATACAGCACAACCTGATGGGGGGAAGGGTCTTTTGTTTGGACATGACTTTACTAGAAATTGCTTTTGCTCTCTGGTCAACAGAGTGGCACGTGAACAGAAAAACAAAACAATGTCTGTATTGTGTTGGATGCACCACAGTAGGGGGATTAACTATGTCTAAATATTCACTTTTAATCTTGTCTCAGCAGCAACAGCGCCTGAGGACGATGGTCATGCAGGGGGTTAGTTATGTGTCCAACAAGTTTTCAAACTAAAACAACTCCTGGCAAAATAAATGTTTGTGATCTTCAGTGGATGATCCCAAATACATATGGTGACTCCCTGTGGCACATCTGTAGAAACATGATGGAAACACATATCTGTTTTGGTTTGATGTATTAACTTTAGAAAGGTTAGTCTACTCATCGCTTTCATAAGGATCGGGTTTTCATCTTCCACTCTGCTGGTCTCTCTGGTGGCAGCTTGAGTTTAAATCACAAGTAAAACATGATTTATATGTCTGTTTCAGGTCACTTTTCTTTTTCACCCACCTTTGTATTGCTATATTTCAAGTCTGTCCACCAAGGTTGTTCAAGCTTTAACAGATGTAATAGTCACAACAACATTTATTTCAAAAATTATGTTAGCAACCTCATTTTATTCTACATCTCAACAATCATAAGGTAAACAGTAGAATTAAACCATTTACCATGATTATGCACTTGCATGTATCTCATTTACCCCTGTGCTTTGGCATTATGGGATTCAAAGCCAACAAACATTGTTGTCACGGCATATCATTAATTTCTTTAAACTTTTCATACCCATCAAAATGTATTGATTATTTGCCTCTGGTAACCCGTTTGGAAGCATCTTCATTCATAGGTTTCTCCATTCCTTTATCAGTTTACATAATCTAAGAGAAAGGCAGCGATGAACGATCATCAAGTTTGGCTTAACGTTTCTATAATCATCTGTTGAGTGCCAGTCTCAGGCCAAGCCTTACATACTTTTGCCAGGGCTTTAAATACTGTGTAGTTTAAATAAATAAAAAAAGCCAAAGGGTCAAAGCAGTCAAAGCTTATACAACTGTTCTGACCAGGCCTGGAATTTCGTCATTTTAGGGGCAAGGCCACTTGGCCTTTTGAGTTGTCAATTTTTTAAGGGCACAAAGGCCAAAAGCCAGGGCACCAAGGCCATAAATTAAACAATGATTTAACATACGATATGAAGTGACTACGATTGTATATGCATTTACAATACTTTTATATATATTTATTAAGCATCATCTTATCTTTGACAGCTAACAACACAGCGCTAACTGCCTAGCACTAGATCAGGGGTCGGCAACCTTTTTGATATGAAGTGCCATTTAAAAAAAAAAATGTTATCAGCTTGCCAACGATCGAGAATTATCAACGG